ATTTTGATCTCTTCCTTCCCCAAAAATTCAGTTTAATAAAGTTGAGAAACAGGACGTTTAGAAGTTACAGTTACGTTACGTTTCGTTACGTTACGTTACGTTACGTTACGGTAACAGTAACTGTAACTTCTTTTACAACGAAACATTTCCCGTGCAACAACCAAACATTTCAAAATTGGGCAAAGTCGTTAGATTAGGGAAACATAGAAAAAAAGGGGAAATATTACGAAAATTGCAACATTTAGTAAGGCACCGTAACACGGCAACTTTTTCATCTTTTATATATGTTAAAAAATAAATATAAAATAATTTTAATTATTAATATTATTAATATTGTTTGGAATTTTTCTGTGAGATTTGTATTTTTTGACAGTATATAAGGCCTCTACTCCTGTTAATCCTTTTCTATATGCATCCATAAATCTCCAAGCTCTTTGTGCATATTTATGAATACTTTCAAGTGAAACTGAATTTAATGCTAAAGGAATGGTTTTCTCCAAGGATTTAAATGTATAGTCACAATTTTCTCGTGCATATTTTTTTGCAGCTCCCCAAAACATCTCTATAAAGTTAAGTTCACAGTGAAATTTTGGGTAAAATATCACTTTATGACCACGAGCTTCAATAATTTCTTGAATCAAAGGTTTCTGGTTCATAAAATCTGGTTGAAGTTCAAGAATTCTGACAGCACAACAAAAATTTTGAACAGGTGATCTTTTTTTACAGTCATCACAGATTTGATTTAATCCTGGAATCCATAAGTCTCTCTCTTCAAGAATTTTTTTAATTCCTTTTGGTGTTCCATCAGGTAAATGCATTAATTGTTTTGATCCATCAGATTTTATTCCATCTCTAAATTTTTGTTTTCCACCTGGTTTAATATTCATTCTTCTTGCAATCAAAGCATTTTTAGCATAAAGAGAATGACTGGTGGCATTATCAAATGCAAACACTCCAATTGAATCTTGATGAAGTTTTTCAAATATTGGTATTGCTTTTTCAAGAATCTGAAATTTAATTATTTGGTTATTAAATTTTCTAAACTGATATTAATTAACTTTAATATTTTTACCTGGTTGACTAAAAGTTCAGAAGTCCACCAGCCATCACAATTAACTCCAGGTTTCATAATGTCACAAGCTTCTTCATTTTCAAATCTTAATCTTCCATCAATCTCAGTTAGAAAATCACTAACATGAATGCTTAAACCAGTACCTTTTTTCCTCAATGGCATATATCCTTTAGGCCCCCAAAAAAAATTTTTTTCCATCATTAAAATAAAATATTGACTCATCATGAGTAACAAGAATGTGCCTTCTTTCACCAGGATTCAAGGATGATTCAATAATCATCATTATATCATTTTCATCTGGCTTAGGCATCAATCTTTCAAACACTTCCATTTGGGTAAGGAATATTTCTCTGTATTTAACAACATCATCCCTCTCATGACCATCATAATAAATATCTTTATGATGTTTTTGATAAGTCCACCCAAGTTCTTTTAACCATACCCTTGCAGTTTTCTCACTAATATTTTTTTTCTCTTCAATACCAATTTTTGGAAAAACTTCACTTTCAACAAATTCTTTAAAGTTCTTAACTTTAATATCACTCACTTGTTTCACCAGGTATTCTTGTAATTTTTTATTTATGTCCTCATTCCATAGGAGTGATTTTATCTTTGGATATTTACCTTGATTAAGGCTGGAATTGTGCCAAATTTTAAAAACTGTTTTGACCAATTACGAATTAGTTGAGCACAATACTCTCCACCTCCAATGCTTTTGGAAAGTAATAAACTTGCTTCCATTTTTTTACTTCCCATCAAACAAAGGTTAAAATATTGGCTAATAATTGAGCCTCTTTTTTTTTTGGATATCAGACAAGTTTTTATCTTTAAGGAGTGAATTTAAACATATTAAAGCTTCTTTGTAATTCACAATATCTTTCTCATCAAAATTATTATTGGATTCATACAAATTGATTGTGTTATCTATTATATAATTGCTTTCATTATCTTCTTCACTTATAATCAACTGATTGCTTTCCACTTTTTCAAAAAAACTTGTTAGTTTCATTGTATTTGTAGCTGCCATTTGATTTTGTGCTTTTTTACGACAAATAATTCTTTCTGAATTTCCCACATACACCAAAGGACGATTAGGCTTGGAAAGAACTTTATTACTAGCATTTTTTATCATCTTCTCAAAGATAGAAATATCCAATTCCTTAATTGTGTTATTTAAAGTTTTGCTTTGCCAATTATCATCACCAGAATCACTATCAGAAAGTTGGAAATCAGAAAGTTCATATTCTTTTACATTTTCAAACTCATTATGATCTGATTCATAAATAGTTTTATCATCATCAGTTCTGACACAAAATCAAAAGGTTGTTCATGCAAGAGAGTGTTTTGAACAAATAAATTATTAGATTTATTTTCATTTTTTAATTTTTTTGAAAGTCTAGCTGTTTAAATCTGGGAATTTCTTTTTTTTGGTGGCATATTTAATCAATACTTAAAGACAATATATTTAAGTTTATCGGAATGAATATTTGAGTAAATAAAAAATATTGACGCTTTAATGTTACTGTTACATGATTTTTTAACTCTGACCAGAATTTAAAAAAAGGATCAGCAGATGTCATAATTTCCGCCCAAATTTAAGCGGCCAAATTCCTCGTGAACATAGTAAAATACATATACAAAAAGAAATAGAACTCAACAACCCACCAATATTTTGAAAAAAAAACTCTCTGTCACATTAAAGCTTGGGTCCTAATCTATGTCATAACAGAGCTATTTTTTTAAAAATAATATACAGAAATGAACTTCTATTCTTTTAAAAATCACATGCAAAATTGGTGGTTTAAGAGGTCCCGCACCATATTACATTTTTATTTTTATTCGTATAATGTCAAAATTAGTTAGCTTTATTTAGAAATTAGCATCGCAGTCACTGTTCGAAATTCAATCGGCGGAATCGGTGCGCACTAACCAAATATGGAAATTAACCGCAGATAATTTCTAAAATTAGATTAGTTTATGTAAAGGCGCAGTCGAATTTCGAACACTGATCGCAGTTAGAATGTTACGTCACAATTAAAGTGCGGTATTGTGGCTAGAATGTTAGATTGCAATGAAGTTGTTACTAATTAATTTAATTGTATAAAAGAAGCTCAAATTTGACTTGCTTGTAAAATAACTTTGTCTTGAAGTTTGATAATAAAGATTAACTTGGTAATAAGTTAATAAATTAGTTTTGACTAAATAAAACTAAATAAATAAAATATAAATATTTTATTTAAAACTTTTATCTTCTTTAAACAAATTTATTCGCTAATACCAAAATCAATTCATTGATCCCTATTCATTCTGATCCATGCAAAAACAAAAATAATTGTTATCACCAATTAAAATACGCTCTCCCAATTTAATCGGTGACAATATTAAAATTGTTTGTAATTATATATTTGTAATGAATCAATATTTATTGACATGATATCTAATAAAATTATTTGTAATTATATATTTGTAATGAATCAATATTTATTAATATGATATCTAATAAAATTGTTTGTAATTATATATTTGTAATAAATCAATATTTATTAATATGATATCTAATAAAATTGTTTGTAATTATATATTTGTAATGAATCAATATTTATTAATATGATATCTAATAAAATTATTTGTAATTATATATTTTGTA